TCCCTGCCCATGGCAGGGGGTTGGAATTAGATGATCTTTAAAGGTCCCTTCCAACCCAAACTATTGTGTGATTCTATGAAATAAATAAGCTCAGCTGAATTTTCTATTTCAGCTACAAAACAAAGCTTTTCCAAAGTGAGTATTTTAAAGCTATGTCTTTACAGAGAAGATCAACTGTACAGATATGTCAAGGTCTTGACACCACCTGCCAGCAGAGCAAATTACGTGGAAAAAACCTGCTTAGACTTGTTGCTACTTCCTGGTTTAGATCCCAGAAGAACTTAAGGAAAACTAGTTTCTTCTGCAGAAGGACAAAGGTCATTTTCCCTGACTGGCATCCCTGTACTTCAGGTTTCATTCAGAACTTCATTAAGGTTATGATTATTTACATCTAGAGTAACTGGGATCACTTGATCAAGAAATTTAACGTAGCTGTATAACAAAGTAATATTTTATTTACAGCTTGCTGACTGTGACAGGACAAACGTTATCATTCCTGGTGTATCAGTTAACGAAAACCATCACACAAGTCAGCCCCAGCCCACTGTCCTGTAATTAAAATAATTGGTCAGTGGGTGGCAGACTTGCACTGAGTTTATTGTAAGTTTTTGGAAAGCATTCACTTGTAAGTTGGGTTTTCTGCTTTATGCTGTAAAATTCTCTGTGTTTGTTAACATACCCAAGAAAAAAGAAAAATCTTTCCAAAAATCATATCTGATGTTATGCTCAGAACCAGTAATTCCTGAAATTAGAACCTGATGGTAGTACTAAGACTCTATGTGACCAAAGCATTCTTCTCTTCACTCTCTCCTGCTTAGCCCAGTGTGATAACCTGGCATAGCAGATGATGATAACAATAATAACAGTGATAATAGTAATGGCACTTATTATGTTCACAGGTTGGTTAAGTGAATAGCAGTAAAGATGAGGTGACTACAAATGATTTATATTATGTGCAACAGCCACATGACGTATAATAAATGTAAACCTTTTCTGTGCCTAAACTTTACCTGTTGTACTGCAGTTTTGAAAAACTAAACTGCTTAGCAGTTCTTACATATCTGTTTCCTGTGACTTTCAGGTTTTGGGGGAAGCTATGCAGTTAGTATTAAATGCAGTGCCCTGCATAGTCATATATACTTACTAATCTACAGTAATATTAGTCACCATGTTTTTAAAAGGATGACATATATTTTGAAGAATGTAAATTATTTTTATAAAAACCAGTAACATCTAAAATTCAGACTTTAAAATACTTTCTAAATAAGTCAGTTTAGCGTCAACCAAATTTTCTGGGTCTTATTCCTCCCTCTGTAATGCTGTTTCCATTTTATCCAAGGGAAATCCTTTTTTTTCATTAGCCCTTAGTACCATTAAATGCTGGTTGTATTTTGTTTTGCAGAGTCCTGTCCTCCAGTATCTTTATTATCTTGCACAAATACCCATTGCTATGTCCCCACTCAGTAACAACAGCCTATTTCTGGAGTACTCAAAAAATCCACTACGGGAATTTCTACATAAGGGACTTCACGTCTCTCTCTCCACGGATGATCCTATGCAGTTTCATTATACAAAGGTAAGAACAAGAAGTACTTGTCTTTGAATTTGGCAGCAGTACCACATAGGACCAGAATGACCTGAAAGCTATTTTATATCATTGCTTAGGATATCAAGTTTCATGTCTTTCAAGTCACTTCATTCATTATCCTTCCTCATTCTCAGTCTACTCACTGTTAGGTTTCACAGGGAAATGTCTGATTTCCTAATTGTGTTTCTTTTGTACTCTTGCCTCTCCAGTGTTGGCTGTTGAAGTATAGAATGAAGGATGAGGCTGAAGGGAGGTTTGAGCCTTCATAAACAATCCTCTAGAGTGCCAGGAAAGTCCAGTTTCCTTACTAATAAATCTGGGGAAGTACATTACAAAAACACAATGTGGAATCTCTGAAGATGACAGCTGTTTGCTCAGTGAACTGATTCTTGTCCTTGGGTGGCCTGGCAGGACAGAACTGCCTGGTCATTGGTTCTGATGCCCCTGTTTTGTGGTTGGCACTGACTTGAGTCATGTTGTGCTTTAGAGTGGCCTGTACATTGCTCAATTGTCTTGACTTGTGAGGACAAGCTGAGCTCTGGTGTGCTTCACCCAGGCTTCTGGCCCATGACATATCTCTGCTAGAAAAGACAAGAGAGCTTCTGTGGGGGCTTTCTGCATGGATGTAACGCAGCACCAGCTGAGTTACATATAGTGTGGAAGACCCTAAGCTGTGAGAGCCCACTAGTCAGACCCAACCTCCTTGTGGAAGGTCAGAAGTGAGAAATTGCCCAGCTATCTGTCTACGTAGATATTCGTTAAAGAGTTACAAGACTAGATCCTCCAAGGTGTTCATATACCCTGGGATCTCATTTGAAATGCCTCTAAGGATCCTGACTACAGGCTACAATTTCTTAGCCTAAGATAACTGGATACCCCATGCCTATTGTTTAACAGTTGTCCTTGGGAAATATGAAATAAACAATGCTTTTTATTAGTAATTGTGATGATAAAATCTTAAAACCTCTAATTTTTCACAGCTATCTAAAGAGCATACATGAATTTCTTTAATAATAAGTACGTATCTCCATACACATCCTATTTACACCTAACTTAATATTAAACATATTTTGGTGATACAGGAAGCTCTCATGGAAGAATATGCAATTGCAGCCCAGGTGTGGAAACTAAGTACCTGTGACTTGTGTGAAATAGCAAGAAACAGCGTACTACAGAGTGGATTGTCAGATAAGGTAATTATGGCTGAAAAAAATCCCTTTTTGCGAGTATCAAGGCAAGTAGGAACTGAGAAGTCGGTAGTCTGAAAATTGAATAGTAGGTGCTTCTGTGATGTATTTGCACACATCCCTATTCTCTTTTCCAGAAGCATTCACAAAGTATCTGCTATGCAGTCTTAAATTTTAAAAAGTATTAACATTACATTTTTTCCTCATCAGCTTTGTTTTGGAGTTCCCAAAACATGCAGAGACCAGGTGCCTGTTTAGACTCAGTTCTGCCTCCGGTCCCAAACCTTTAATTATTTGGGTGATATCCCTCTGCCAGCAATTTCATACATCATGTCTTGCACTGAGTAAAAACAAACTGTCAAAATAAAGATGTGTTTGCTAAGAAGGGAGTACTACACAAAATAGTCTGGTTTAGGCAGCCAGTCAGATTAGATTAAATTCCCTTTTGGTTTGAAAATTCTATACATCCATGGTTTTCTCTAGGACTTACTTTAGAGCATCTTCTCTTTTACTTGTGTGTCATTTTAAAACATTGCCTCCAGGGATCTGGTATGTGAAGGGGGCTTTTTGAATATATTCTGCTGTTTCTTCCAATATTCTTTAGTGACAATTACAAATTTTCCTCTTGTGCAATATTCAACTAACAAAAGAAACCTAAGCCTCTTTTTGACCTCTCACATGAAAGGTGTAGTAGTAAAGACCAAACAGTAGCACAGAGGGTTTCAGCAAGTGAGACTGAATGCACTGCTGAGTAATTATATGTGTAACTTTGGCCTTAAAATCTCCAGAACTGGTTAAGACTCTGAGACAAAGTTCAGTGGCCAGCTGGTTGAAGCTGCTCTTTTCACTTGCACTGGAGTCATTCAGCTAACAAATACTCAGTTAGACAATAAATCAAATAAGTTGAACTGACTTTTTCCTTTATATGTTTAATCCCACTCACAGGAAAAACAGAAATTCTTAGGGGTGAATTACTGTAAAGAAGGGCCTGAAGGAAATGACATTCGAAAAACAAATGTAGCACAGATCCGGATGGCCTTCAGGTATGAGACACTGTGCAATGAACTTAGTTTCCTGTCTGATGCTATGAGAACAGAAGAGATTTCTACTCTGACAAAGTAATTACAAACTCAAAGAAACCAGAACATACCACTCCAAAGTAGGATAAATTGCTTATTAACATTGAATCATCTGTCTTTGATGCTACCAAGACAGAACTGAACAGTACAGAGAAAAAGATTATCTATGGAAGGTAAACAGTGTTTGCCATTATCGTTTAATGCATTATTCTCATTGCAAAAACTTCAGTTTTTATCAACATTAGGCTTTGTAAGATGGCTGTAAATACTAAATGCAAACTCAGACTCATGTAATATTTATTTCATGCTGTCTTAACTGTACACTATATTGTAGCTTGGAAAACAACAGAGAGTATTCATAGCACATCTGTGATATGCACCTTAGGATTCTGCAGATGTGGCACAGTACACATGCACCTGGTTTTGTCCTGCTAGTCTCAGCATCAGTCATGCCTTTTAGCACTTGAAAGTTTAACCCTTTATCATTAGCAGTTTGTATGGGGTGCATAATTTTGAGATTAGCCTTTCGTTCTGGAAGGTGTTCTGACACAGTTTTTATCTTAATGTTTCAGCAGTTAGACTGGAAAACAAGCAAAACCAAAATCAGGTAGTCTTGTTTAATGACTAATTACTTCCTGTTGTCATGTAGGATGTCTGTGAAGAACAGCAGATTAATGCTTTTTAATCTAGTAAGTGGAAAACATGGTGTCAAAATCATCACTATTGTACATTGTAATAATGAGTAATTATATAATGAAAACTTTGCCTTGGAAGGTGAGAACACTTTTTTATTGCTTTGTAATGGGAATATGTGGATATGCCAGTTCAAATTACTCAGAAATTTATGCAGATAATTTTGGTTGCATGTAAAGAGAAATTTTTTACTTGAACAAAGGAAGTGTTCTTATGAATCAGTGGTAGAAACTCCAGACCTGGGTTCTGGTCCTACTTCTGACATCTTTTTTACACATTTGCATTAGTTTGTATTTCAGTCGGTTGGAGTTGAAATAGAAGTCAAACTGTCTATTTGTACAGAAGCCAGCCCACTTGAAACAGGGCATTTCAAATCATGTTAAACTTTTTATTTATGATGGAGTTGCTAGTAAAATACAGTTACTGAAATATTTATCACTTTCACTCTTTTTTTTATTTGTTTATCCTTCTTAAGACACAGTACTACACATTCAGAAAAGAGTAAGCATCTATGTACTGTGGAAGCTGCATGTAGTTTCATACCCAAAAAGACTTAAAGCTAGGGGAAGCAGAGGATGTTGATGCCTCCAAGTCCAACATTACACTTCTTGAGACCTAGATTCCCTAAGCTAGGATACCAAGCCTACAGTTAGAGCCTTTGGGATCTCATATAATACAGAGGGAGGTTAGGCAGCTTCAGACAGTAACTGAAAATTCACGCACAAAAAAGGCAAATAATGAATACTAACCAGTCAAGCCTCACTAGACCTAGAAACCTTTTTTACATCAGACAACTTGTGCCACTTTTATTAATTAGGCCAGGCCCTTCCATGGTTTGGGCATCTACATCCTTCCTTTCAAGAGCTGATCAGGTCTCATTTTCCCTTGTAAATGCAGCCAGAAGTAGCAGTGACGACGTCACTAGTCGCAATTGACTCATTAATGGCGTAAGTGTATATAGGCATTGAAGACATACACTCTCCCTTCAGGCTGTGGCACTTCAAAGCAATACCTACAAGGACACTTTTCAAATGTATCTGCTGTCCTTTATGGTGATTGCAGGGAAATGACACCAAAGTAAGGGAAGGAGGAATTCCCTATCACCTCCTATAGCTGTAAAAGCCCCACAAGAGAGACTAAACCTAAAGATCTTTAGGAAGCAGCCTGAAAGTAAGCCTGCTCCGAGGGAGACCAAGGCACAGGAGCAGAGTCCTGACCATCCAGTCACTATTACAGCGTGTTATGCATCGGGGCTGCAGTGATTGCAGGTATTATTAATCTAAAATATAGTGGCATATTGGCAGGTGATGGGAGACTTGACTTCAGCTCTTCAGCAACCTAGCCTAATGTCTGCAGTGTTCAACTACTGCCAGACTTTGTACTCCTTGTGCAGCTAAAAGACTGTGCTACAGCGAAACTGGGCTACACTGTTCAACTGTACAATAATGCAATGGTCCAAAGTTCTTAAGTCAACAATGCCTGTTGGCTTCACTGTTGTTAGCAGCTCATATAATGCATTATCAGGATTGGTGAATGTAATTTTCTTAGGACAAAGTCTGAAAACAGTGGTTCAAGCATTTTAGCTGCATAAAATGCAGACACCCTGTTTTCATTAATACAGCTTACTAATCAATTGTTATCAACATAATGTTACCTGAGAAAAGCATCTCTGTCCAGGTGAAATAAGCAACATGCTTGGTTTGAAGAATCTGAATTGTATTTTCATCTGACCAACATTACTGTACTTGGGTTGTTTCACCTTAAGACTGCTACTAGTGTTGCTTTTGTTGTCACTTAGATCTCTTAGTTTTCTTAATATTATACCAAATTCGTGTATGTTTAATACCTTCTCATCTTTCCTTACCTCAAGCTCATCAAGTTCTAATATGTCTGTAGCTCTTATTAAGAAAAAAAACCAAACTGGATTTGAATATAGTTAATGGACAGTAATTAGGATTTTGACAATAATAACAATAACACACAAATGGCCATGAGCACAGATTCTGCTCTCTGGGCTTCCATGTGTGCTGCTTTTAAGGATAAGTTGAGCTAATAGTGTTGCATTTAGGAAACAAACCTGCCGTCCTTTCAAGCTTCCGTAACTACACCTCTTTTGGTCATCTTTTAATTAGGCAAAAGTTACTGATTCTCAAGTTCAGTTTTTAAAACTCAGCTGCTTTTTTTTCCAAGCTGCACTTTTGTTCTGATGTGTGGCTGTTCAAAATAACCTTGCAGTCTGAGGATGTGTTTGTAATGAAGGGCAGATCCAGTGTAAATTACTGTCATAAATGTTTACTCAAATGCAAGGCAGGGCAGTTGCTGATTCCCCCTGCCCCCAAACCTCATTACATCACAGCTTGTGTTTTACTCCAACAGAAAGGGACTTGGAAGAACATCACTGTAGGTGGTGACTGGGGTGGGTGTTGCTTCAGAATGGGAGAATATCGTATCTTCTCATCATTTGATTGGTGTTAAGGTTCAAACATTATTCAAGACTTCCTTAAATGTTAGCTCAGAGCATTCTGTACTTTCATCTAAAATGGTTAATTATGGTTACTTGATGTTTACAACATACCTATCTGAACAGTTTCTAGTGATGCTCTTCTGTTATATTCCTTTAGCAAACTTCAGGCATTTGCTCTGCTGCTGGGTTATACAAGGTTTTTTCTCACATCAGAGCCACCTTATCTTCTCCTGTCATTTTTTTCTTTACTTGTCACTAAACCTTTCTGTTCTACTTGCCTAGTTAAAATCCAAGTCTGAAAAAGGTGGGTGGAGGGATGTCTGTAAACACTTCTTTCTTTCTGTGCCTGGGTTTAAATCATGCTTATCTTTTGCCTCTTGTGGAAGCATTAAACATTACACTAATAAATAAATTATAAAATAATATGGCATGTTTTTTGTCTGTGTGTACCTCAATAAAATTGTAGCTGCTGCAAATCTCTGCATTTAAGCAGAACTAATCCTGTTAGCAGTACAGAAGACCAAACCAAAATTAAGGACTACCACAGCATGAAAACTGAAAAAAACCCAACCAAAACCCCACAGCCAACAACAAAACCCCAGTGGAGATAGATAGAGAAGATAATAAGCACTATTTAGGAGAAGGAGCTAAGAGCTTAGCTGACTTACAGGAATTCAGTGTTATAAAAAAACAACTGTTCTGATTTGTGCCAGTAGAAGACTAGGCATTAAGTCCTGAAGTGAAACTATATTCTAGGGCTGCCCTGCTGTCTCTTGGTGCCCTGGTTCCCTGCTCATTCCAACTGGATATCAGGATAGGGCATGTGGCATCTCTTCCTGATCCTGGAGCCTCACCTAGCTGTTAACCAGAGTCAAACCACCTGAATTTGGTAGCAGCAGAACAGTTCTGACAGCCACAGCTGAAACAGTTTCAGCAGTATGCAGGACTGCTTTAGCTGACAAAACACAACTAAGAGCCAGCAAGTGACAAAATGAAATAATATCAACATGGACATTCTGCTACAGTCAAGATGACTTTTGAGAAAAAAGAAAAGTTTAACACAAGTTATTTTCTTCAGCAGAAGATGTAATAACAATTTTAGACGAAAATGTGTCTCTTTCTGTACAGAAACTCTTCATTTCTGTACACAAGCAGCACTCACAAAGCATGCGAGCACAGATTCATCTGTAAATGAAGAATGTGTATTTCTTACCTATACCTCTCAAAGCACTAAATATCAATGTTAAGCAGCACAGAGAATAGTATATATAATAGTGAAACAGGAACACTGGTAACTCATTAATCACTAACCATAACTAGCATGTACCATCTCACATGAAAAATGTTTTTGGAAGGTCTATTAAAGTGGGTTGGGGCCACGTTAGCATGGAAGCATAGATGGTTGTATCAAACCCGTATTTGGTTCCACATACATACAATCAAATTCCAGAAGGGCAGGCTTCTGACTCATTTAAGCTTAATTCATCACAACACCTTGTATTTTCAAATAGCACTTTGAACCAAAGAAGAGGGCTCATTTAATTACCTGTTGGATGGTATTCAACCCACCAGATAGATACACACTGGACAAAGTTCCATCGAAGTTCTCAAAACTGTTGGCTTTTTGTTTGTTTGTTTTTTAATTTCAGGCCTACAAAACCTATGCCTCCTATTCAGTATTTTAACCATGACAGGTTATTGAGGTAAGCAATCACATGCTTATCAACATTGTGACAGCTCAGATAGATAGATAGATACAAAAGTAGAATGTGTCATTAGATCCCTCAGACATAACATTCCTTGGAACATGACTAGTTCACAGCAAAACCCATTATCTAGCGATCCTACACCACAGTTACTGAAAAAAAACCCACTGTCCCATACAGGTTAATTTCAGCTACACATAGCAACAGGCAAAGAGTGTTTAATCTTTATAGTATGTTGCCCATGATAAATTCTAGAACCTTAAAAGCAAACATCTGAACACACAACAATTAAAACCCCCCAGTTTTGAAATTACTAATTTTTAAGACACTTCTAAGAAAGCAGACATCTATTCACCCACTTAAAACAGGTGAGGATAAAACATTATAATAAGTTATCTTCAAGAATGGTTTAACGTTAAACAGAAAAAGAATTAATCAGTGTAATATTAGTGATATTAGAGCACATATATTTAGTGGATACAAAACTAAAGGATTATGTGTACGCAGTATTAAGAATTAAGGTCAGACAGGTTAACATACAACTCCCATTTACACCCAGCATCTTTAAAGCTATCCAAGAAGGCTGCCGTTCCAGGATTCAGCAGGCCACAAAGCACAGAGAGCCATGGCCAAGATGTTCCCTCTAAAAATAATGCATTTGGCACATGCAGCTGGGGGTGAGGGGAGCATATTTGACAGCTCAGTTCAAACCTATAGCACAGAGATCTCACTGGCTGCCATGTGTTTCCAAAACTGGAATTAGTATGGATTAGAAAACCTGTATAATTACAGACAGAATTCTCTTCAAAGGGAAGATATGTGAGTTAAATATGCCATTTCCCACAAAAAAAGAAACATGCACATTACATTAATAAGGTGTCTAATCTTGAAATCTAGTAAATACCAACATTTGTCAATTCCTCAAGTACACCCACCTCCTGGTGTGTCTGTCAACTGGAAAGGTTTCCAATTTTAATTTGCTCGTCTGTTACAATGAATTCCTCTCCTATTTTTCACTTGGCTTTGAAAGATCCAAACAGATAAACCAAGTAACTAGACAAAGGAAACAGTGATATTAATTATACACTTCAGTTATTATTTAAAACCAGGCAAAATCTGAGAAGAATATTCCAAACATTAGCATTCTTAAGGTTTAAAATACCCTCAGAAACATGATGGAGTACCTTGGGGAAAAAGTGAATCACACTACTCTGAGGGGAAAAAACCAACAACTTTTCCCAAAAGAAACTCACTCCTCAATACTGTCCTTTAAAGTAGAGCTGTTTGTTTAACTTTTCCCATCCCTGCAGAATGTTCCAATTTGTTTTGCCAAAAGAAAAATGGGAGAATCAGAGTGGGTCTTTTCTGCAGATCTGCATTTAAGCTACCTTGTTAGTACCACAATGCAACGTTTAAAAGACATCTGACTCACAAGGGCATCCTTTTAACCACAGCACCTGTACAACTGAATTGTATTTAAATTAATATTCACTCTTCAGACTTTTGTGGTATTAAAGCCGAGAGATTCCTTAAGCTTAAAAGAACATTTCTTCCAAAGTAACTTGCACCATTCATACACAAAGTTTAATATACTGGAATGTCCTTAGCTATTAATACAATCTAAAATGTTTCAATTACAATTTCACATTACAACGGTAAGAAATTATCACTTAACACAAGAAAGTTTAGTTTGTTCTAATGCCCCCACCAACAGCTATTCATAGTAATTTACATTTCAAGGACTAATTCCTGGAGCCCACTGCTGTACCTGGGCCAATGTCATTCCTTTACCATTTCCAAAACTGTTTGCTAAATGTAGCACTTTAGACTAAGCAGTACCAACCAGTATCAGATTACTAGTTTTTCAGTGTTAATAGACTGTATCCCATGTTACATACAGTACATATATTTCACAAGGCACACATTACAGTACCTATATCACAGTAGTGTGAATTACAGCAACTTAATTAAAAAAAGCTGTACAGAATACAAAGTTTACTTTTTCACTATTTAAATAATTTTTGCACTAGAGTATATTGTAATTGCAATTAACATGTTTGCATCATTACAAAATTACCTTTTAAGAAGTTCATGTAAGTTCTCAGCAGAAAGTCAACTTATAAAATCTCAGAAGTATAATTCTTGAAATACTTGAAAAATAAAGTTAGCTTGAAGCTTTAATTTAGATGCTCTTTCTGTTCCAGTGATAGAAAAGTTTAAAAAATTCAAAAGTTATTTTAAAGTTCTGAACACACACTAATGCAAGCTCAAAAAATAAAAAGAAACCAAACCAGTATGTGATTAGGAATATCTGCAAATATTTTAGTGGAAAATCCCTGACCATTAACAATTTTTAGTTGTTGCCTATATGCAACCAAACAGTCCACACATTTTCTTAAGAAAACAAAAGGAAAAAAATTAGTTCTAAGCTATATACATTCATAAACAGATTTTTTCAATAATACAGATTTACACACTAAGCCCTACTGGCTTTTAGATGATACATACAAGAGTCCATTGCTTATCTGTCTTAATGCCTATGATCAATTTTACAACTGTGCCATAAGCCAAGCTCAGATGGGTACCATATGCTACACACATTCCTTAACAAACAGAAGTATACTAGACAAATTACCAAGATCTTGCCCCCTCTGTAATTAAATTACTTTGTAGCCAACTATGAAAAAACAACCCAGATGTGCATACCCATATGTGCACATGCCTTTTAGTTCAGAACCTGCCTGTGATAAAAGGCCCCAGCCTTACGGCGTCATCAAATTTTAACAAGTACGGTAATTAAAAATGCAGTCTTACAGTAAGCAGAATTTATGCTGATATTCCCTCGAATGCTACACTTGAGTATTTCTCACTCAATCACCTCAAGAGAGTAGTATTTGTTGTTATAGCATATAAAAAAAAAATAAATCATTTAGTTCTCTACAAGAGTAGTCGATTTCCATAGCACTATTTATGCACAAAAGCCTGCAGATGGGTTTCCTGAATACTAACAATTAATTTTAGACTGTCTAAACTCAGCACTTAAACATTTTGTTCTGTTAGACACAGAAATACTGTTGTACTCCAATTGTGATGTCCCTTTTCCCGAGTTGTCACATGCACATCTCACTGCAAGCAACATTATTAAAGAAGTTTCTCTCTGCTACATAAAAGCATATTGCACTTGTAAGATATAAAGCACAGCAACCTTACTTAGATCACCTTATAACTGATTTCATCACTTTAAAAACTCAAAAGAAGCAGATAAAACCACAGCATCCGACTAAACTAGACCTTAACCACTAATTCAAATAATGGCATTCTCTTTAGATATGCCTAATGTTTAAAACTAATTTTGGCTGTTCTTTATCAAAAACTATAGAGAAACTGATTTACTTTTTTTAGGATTGTGTATGAAACTGTTTAGTGTTTCCAAGCTAATAATACTATGCTAAATATTACATTTAAAAAAATATTCTAGGAGATAACCTTGTTAGAAGAATAAAGAGAAGTGCACAAGTACATATACAGAGCTGCCTACACTCTCCAAAACAGATTTAAAATACTACTACAACTCCTCACAGATCAGATGGATATCAGTATCTGTAAACTCTAAAAGCAGCAATAACTGGCTACTGAAAAACAGGCAGTGGGACATCTTCAAGTTACAGAAGTAAAATTTCAAATTAATAATCACTAGTGCTAACTCATCACCTTTATTCACATTTGTCATGAAACTAAAAGTGAGTGCTTTTAAGGATAAGAACTGTGAGGTCAAGCCATCTGACATGGTTCATCTTCTGTAGCAATACACTGTGATGTTCAAACAGCAGTTAGCAGCTGTAGTTGTGCTGTTAAAAATTGCTTCATCTAGTAGTCAAACCGTTAATATCAAAAGTCGTCGTTAACAGAAACTGTTAATGACCAAAGAATTTACTGAAAGTACAGATCAATAATTAAGACTGCCCACACATACAGTGGGTCATATACCCTGTGTTTTAAAAGAACAGCGTAGATGCACAGCAGCCAAGAAGTGAAGCAAAAGACAGACTGTGGAAGAACAGCAACGAGAGGTAAAAACAGATGTTTGTGAAAATGAAAGCTTCAAGTGCTTCTGCTATTATCAGCTTGTGGCCAGTGTCAGGGTCTGTGAGGCTGGCCAACCTCATCTACCATGTTAAGTATGTAAGTAGCGATATCGTCTTCAGTAGGTGCATCTGAAACCACCCAAGAATCGCTTGCTCCAGCCACTTGCCGACGGCAGACAGGACAGCTCCTGTGACGATCACTCCTGTTAGAAAGCCAGAGAAATTAGTATTTTCCATTGATGGTCTCCTCCTGACCCCAAAAAGCCAAAAGAGCCCCCAGACAAAAACAACACAACCCAATGGAAACTTTAAGAATGATCAGGTCAGTTGGACTAGATCATCTATATGTATTTGTTTGTTTCAGAACTTTTTTTTTGCGAGGAAGATTGGCCAACAATTCTGAACGTTGCTCCATTCTTTAAGTCATAAATTTGGAGCCGTATGCCTCATAATCAAGTTTGCTCAGGTTAAACAGAATGCATTTAGCCACCTGTCCAAAAAGTTTAAATAGAAATCTAGGCTAATCTAAGCTAATTCTTCTCAGCTTTAGATATTCAGCTGTGGTCCTTCAGAAATGAGTCCCTGTAAGCTTCCTATATAAAGAGAAAAAGGAACCCTTTTCCTGGGTCATTCAGCCCACTGAGGTTTAGAGTTGGTCCCTTAGGGTGCCATCCTCCTTCAGCGACTAACTCAGGGTCCCAAATAATTACGCTTCTGAGCTGGGAGCCTCTGTTGTCTGCCTAGGTTAAAAAGAGATGAGCCTTAAAAATTGAGTACTAAAAAAAGAATAGTGTAACTGCAACTTCGTTAAGATTCATTAGCTGATTCATTAGCCAAAGTAGAATAATCCACTCTCCACTACAGTTGCTAACATAAGCCCTGTATTGCTGATAGATGTTAAAATATTTTCCCTGAAAAGAGAGATGGTAAGTTATACTCTGAGATCCAGCACTTCTTACTACCTTTTTTTCTTGTGGGAGCATGGTGTTTTAAGAATAACTTCCTTGACAAGCCTTCGAAAAGGCCACAGAACCAATTTTTATGCACAAATTATGTGACTTAAATGTAAAATCATAATCACTAACTAGTCAAAAAAAGCCTTTAACTGAAAATATCTTTATCGCCTAATCTTAGACTGCCAGAACACCTGCCTAGTCCTTGCAGGTCTCTTGCACAGTCAGAGAAGAGCTATGCTCTTCCATAAAGCAATTTTCTTCTCAGTTTTCCAACACCCAGTGCATCGGACAAATGCAGAAGCTGAAAAGCTGTTCAATTTACTATGAAGCTGAACATAATATTGTAAGATACATGTTATACATAAATTTGAAGGCATTGCTATTGAGAGGAAATCTTTTCTTGGGAAATATATTTAAATGAGTAAATTGTATGTGATTTCAACAGAAAGCATAATATATGGGAAAAAAAATCCTTCTGATAGTTATTCCCTAAATAAACAATAAGACAGTCCAACTTCCCTTCATATTTGCATACTCTTACAAACTACTGATTTTTGCCTTAAAAAGCTTCTAACGAGGTTTTGTGAAGCACAACATGCTGGCATCAGCATATACCCTGTCTTTTCTAGTTTTCAAGAAAGAATATAATTTAATTTTACCATAGAGGTAAGAAATTATGTAACAAATGCTGAAAAGCACTTTCACATTTCTTTTTACAAAAGGTGTTTACAAATTCTGAAATCCTTTTCTCCTTCTACTACAGTCTGATTTTACTCAAGCTTTTTATGTATCATATGTATCACTATCTTGTAAGTATCTTCAGACATTAAATTGTATCAGAACTAAGGAATAGGTCAGACCAAACGGAAACATGTCAGATAACCAGTACATACTATAAAATAATGAATAGCCTTTAATATGTATTACCATTTATCAATGCATTTCTGGCAGAAACTGTGAGTACATGGTAAGATTAAATCAGCACGCCCATCCATGCAGATGCAACATTCCTCTTCATCTGTCAACTGTTTAACCCTGGAGAAGAGAAGACAGTTTTTAATCCCACATAACCAGTAGGTTTTATATCTATGCCCAAGTGACTACACTAGTTACTACATTTTTCATAATAATTAATGGTCACCTGTACTTATCTTCAAGGAACGTGTAATTTTTGTGAACGGACTAGTTACACCATCCCAGTCTGTCAGACATAGCCTCAAGCTACCAACAAACAGTAAATGAACTAATTAGAATATGCATTTATTTTTGTTCTCATGTGGTGCTTTTGGTGTTGCACTGGTTTATGCAAATCCTTCTTCAGATCAACAAGGAAGCATGAGAAGTAATGGTTAAACAACACATGACTGGGCAAAAGAACAGAAACACTTGTTTATGTCAAAGCAGATCTGCCTTCCTTTCACAGAGTGTCAGGCTGAACTATGTCATAATGAAGTTTGCCAAATTTCTGTATGCTGGCTTATACCTTAGATAAAAACACACATTGATAGGATCACTAGAATGCATGTTGACTTATTTCACATGCCATCAACTAAACTGTTCATTAAACTGAAAAGGCTGGTTTTAGGTTATAATACACTCCTCATGGTTGTCACTTCAAATTAGAACTCTCCCTCAAGTTGACTGTTACCACAGCACTTACAGATAAGCTTTTAGGTGTTGTTAGGGAAGGGGAAAAAAAAGTTTAAAAATTAGATCACTCCCCAGGGACAGACATTTTCAATTTATCTGTCTTCATTTTTTTCCCAAATAATAGATGTCTGTATCTAAAGTTCCTAGCAGGAGTATCTCACACATTTGCATTACTGAGATTCCCAAGCATGAAAAATGTTCAGAGAATCCACAGCTTTGACCTAACTAGACATGTAAAGTTCTCCAATTTTATAGTCATGGCTCACTTCCAAGTCAGTCAAGTAAGTGTTCTGAAATTTTCAGGTCTTACAAAATTCCTGATTCTGGAATCCCTTCTGTGACTTGGGACACAAAGGTAGCACTCTAGAAAGAATGGCAGAGTCAGTCCACCTTTATTACTACTGGCCAGACTGCTTTTGCTTAGGAATCTTGGAAGCCTGTCAAATATAGAAGAATTTTTTAACTGTAGAGATTGCCCAGCCAACAGACAGCAATTAACATGCTTTTGTTTTATTCTTCAGTAGGTCCTTGGGGTTTCCCTGTCAACTTGCTTTTCGAGAAATTAGTTTAGAATGCTAGATTTTTTGTGTAGAATTACAGATGGTGATTTGCATACAGTGAGGACAACAGTTTCAAAAACCATTCTGATTAGCTCATTATGTTCTTTGGAGTTGTTCCCTTTCATTTCCCTTCCCCATGAAACTCTGAGTACTAACCTTTGATAACACTTCAATTTGAGATTTGCTGGTATGTATAGAAGCAATGATACTTAGATGCCCTATTTATAGTTTCTGGAACCTAAGATTTAGCCATATGACTAAATTTCTTGAAAAATGGTAAAATACAAGAGTGACAAACTAAGGAAATGCTTGTCTCTTTGTTATCAGAAAGCATAAAACAATTACGGATATTTTTGAATGCTCCAAATAGGAAGTGGGTGTTCTAGAGAACTAGGATATTATTCCAGTGGAAGAAGCTAAGATAAGAAGAAGAATGAAACAGATAATATCTGCTATTTTTGGACAGTGATGGCTAGTTCTCACAGAGCTGAAAAATGTCTCAAGGTGAGAAGAATTTAGGCAAATGGGAGGACATCACAGAAAACCAAACAGAGTATTTCCTCAGTGTAACATACTTGAAGGTGCTTCAGCCTGTATTTTGTTTAATGACTTGAAAAACTTGGCTAAGATACAAGCTCACTAAATTCCAGCATATTAGAACATTATACTCTATTTCTCTCGTTATTTGCCACTAATACTATCTCAAGTGATGAAGTTTACAAACACAAAGGATGCTCATCTCCCCCATATTAAAAGTCTCAAACTGAAAAAGAAACTCACCTAGGAAATCTTCTATCTATTCACTGACTTTAGCAATAGATAAAGTTCTTTTGCATAAGCATCTGTGGGTTTTTTGTTTGAAGTAAAAGGCCACTTCCGGATATACACGTGTTCTAGGATAACCATGTATCTTTGAGAAAGAGCAGGAAAATATGCTTTCCAAACATGTTCACAATTTGCTACCTAATTCTAGCATGTTAATAACTCAGAAAAGACAATACTTTAAGATTATTTGTTCCCAAACAAGAGAAACAGGAAATTAAAAGAACACATTCTGCAATCCACTGACAGAAAAAAACGGTGGGGTCTATCTGCAGAATGACAACACAGCCAACCCCTTTCTCATTCTAATAGCTGGAGTGTGACATTCTAAAGACAGTTAACTAGCTCAGCAACTTGTTCTGTTAAAATACCTGGCTACCAGCTCTTCATTGCTTGATATAGAGAACTACACCATTTACTACTTTTTCTTGTGAAACCTCTATCTCACTTAAAACTGAGTTAGAACTTTGAACTAATTCAGAAAGTTAAAAGTAAGGAATTACTGGTAGCAACACTGCCACATAGGGAAAGGGTGACAAGCTTACTGCTGTTCCATTCAGTTTGAACTGAAGTTATTGCAGGTGTTGACCTTCGCTTTTCCTCTAGTTAACAAAGCAGGATGTCAACATGTGTAAGACAGTTCACATTTTTCCAGTCTTACAAGTTAAATTATTACTATAACTGATGAGTGTCTAGTGGCAACAGATGGGAACTTTCACATGCCAAAACATAAAAGAGGAAGAGAAAGTTTAAGTGGAACAATAACAAAATCTGTTTAAACAAATACTGTCAAACCCCCTAAATTTGTAGCTGCAGCTGATTCCATTTCCTCCTGTTTCCTTATTCAGGAGGTTCAACATATATCATGTTTATATTAGAATTAATCATTAAAAAGATTGTTCTGAAGCTAAGGAATGGTAGCACAAACAGCATTTCATTCAAGTGCACTATAGCTCTCCTGGTACAAGAGAAGGCATGCTTTTCACATCTGTGATGATACAAAGTCTGCATCTGCCAAGAGCATGTGGTCTTGATCATCAGGTGTTAGTAGCTCAAGTTTTACACACAAATCCCAAAATATTTCTGTTGTAACTGTGGTCAGAAGCTAGAGTATATCAAAATACCTTCCCATCCAGAAGCTGGCCTGACAAGATGAAACAGACATCAGACTCTCAGCAGCTTCTTCAGAAGTACCACTCTGCGCAAGAACTCCTGCTGCTTGACTGGTGATGTCTTTATAAAGTTGAATAAACTGATACAAGTTCAAGATTCTGGAAGCTTCCACAACGCCACTTGTTTTATTTATCTTAAGATATAAGAATTGTTTACAATTATATATCAGATTTTTACATGGCATTGCTCAAAATTCTTTTAATGCACTGCAATTCTCATGGCAGTAGCCACCTTCACAGGTGTCCATCACTATGTTAGCAAATTGCAGTCTGCCTCAATAAAGTTGAGACCTGCAAACAGTTGTTTTATCTTAAGGAATACCACAGTTAGGACTACATTTTTAAGGCAAGATAACTACCATCGCTACTCAAACGAATTAAATTATGAGTAGGGACCTAATGCCTAACAAATGGACTAAACTTCTTACAAAGGAGAGAATAATCAGTCATTTCATATTTGAACTTAAAATAGCTTACGATAGCTGCCTTAATGAAAACCAAGAGCAAACAGAAAATTACAAACTGTCAGTTTCAAACCAAGTTTGAGAGTTAGCTTGCTTGAAACTTGCATGTTAAGGTTGCTCAGGACCATTTAAGGATGTCACTTGATAAGATATAGAGGGGAATAATCTCCCCCTTAGAAAGAGCAAACTTAGTTTGAAGACCATGACAAAACTTACTCAGTTAAACACTTAATTTTTAGATTTGCTTTCTAAGGAATAAGAATACATAGCTACACCAGCTCAACTAATAATGCTTGGAATAGCTGATTAACTTCTACTATCAAACTACATAGTTCCCAGTTTGTTGTACTGTTTCATTACCATGACCTGACCTCAAAAGTAATCAGAATTCCTAACTAATGGGCCATAAGCACTGCATTGGAAGATATTCCTTTAAACTCAGTTACGAAAATGTTTTTTGCAGAAATGTAAGACTTCGGACTTAATTTACCTCAAATAGTATCCTTGAATACATCATCTGTATATACTCAATATACATTATATATATAAAAAAAATATAATATTCAAAATGTATGTAGCAGGTCTTGGATTTTACCAGTAAAGGTGATAATACTCAAATATTTGTACGAACCCCCCTCAACAAATTAAAAGTTTCAACAATCTTACTTTAGTGCATATAATCCGAACGACCACCTTCCAGAAAGCAGAAGAATCAGAACCAGGCTGCACTTCAAATAACAGATGTTTGTCTTGTCCAGAAGCCAATTTTGCAGTACTGAAATAAAGAATCATCCGGTTTGCACCACATGCTAGACATGCAAAGATCAGCAACCTTAGCTACTGTGGTATTATTTATTGTTCACCTATGTGTTATCGTTTAAGAGATTTTTATCAATATTGCCCAGAGACATGAAATTAAGGACCTTAGCATTAATTAAATATAAAATACAGTCAATTTCACTTTAAATTGCACAGTAAATTTCAGAAAATGATGTGCAAGTCTTTTGATCCAGCATCAGCAAAATCCTTTATAGTTATTTTATATGCTTTCACTGTTTATTACAGTAATCATACGATCTTGAGTCCAATCTAAAAAGCTTATTTCTTTACCATGTATTTAAAAAGGAGCATGCAAGTACCAACACATGCAGATGAGGTGTATTTTTGTTAGTATGTATTAACAATGAAGCAGTCAAGTGAAAGCTTCAGGTGACCCTGAGTTTTGGGGGTTTTGGTTTTTTGGGTTTTTTTAATGGAACACAGACACAAAAGTCTATTCTATAAGAAGGAGAACAAACTATGTTACATTCAGGCTGAAGTAAGCACTAGAAGAAATAAAAAAAACCCCTTGAATAACAATGATATTTTGGAGTTAATCATACTGAGATATTCTTAGGTTCTTAGGCAAAGCATAAAGTAACGTCCTTCAAAATCTATTTATGTGTCTACCCAGAAGACACCTGTCTGTTCTTGAAGGTCATTCATAAAAGTATGACAGTCCACAAGACAATTTCTAAACTGAACACAAATTGACATTATAGTTAAATTTCAAACATGACTGAAAGCCATACACTACAAAGCCCTTTATCAGCACATATGTTTCCATCTCCTATAATTTTATATTAAAAATATTGGGTAAAAATTACAAATCTGCATTTTTGTTCATTTCTTTTTACCATCAATGTGGCAGTCAAACAGAATTCACACTCTGAAAAATGTTACTTATGCAGCCTTTTGTTTGGGATTATCTTGGTCACCAGATTCACATAGTGAGACATGCCTCATCTTTAATGAGAAACAGCACTGCCTGTCCACAGAGGTGGAAAAGATGGTCACAAATGGTTCTGTCTCAGGTTTACCTTCCTAGTGTAGCTGTATTGTCTTTATAGGGCTCATATTGCTACTTCCTATGACAAGTTACTGGCAGAGAGGAAGCAGCATTGAATCTTCACATGGCTGGTAACACTAACAAAAAGATACTGCTAAATGTCTACCTCCTGCAAACTAAGAGAGAAGCAACGCTTGCTGGAAGAAGAGTACTGGAGAAAAAAAGTAGATTTCTGAAGGAGAAATGTCTTGGTCTTGAAGTCTAATTACAACCAGTACAGATACTCTAAAAGCGACAGGAGACATTTCAAAACAAGATGGCCAGTCCTGACTTAGCCAGCTCAGAGGGATATATTACATACAAGGTCTCTGTAAAACATGAAAAAAACCAAGAAAACAAAGTAAGGCTTACACATCATTAAGTTCAGCTACTCTTCCCAGAAACTCTTCATACGTTAGGAAACCACTTTCTTGAACCAAAGAGGCATGCTTTGCTACTTTTTCTGGCAACTTGTTAATTACAGTTTGTGTGTGGTTTGAAATTTGTTGACCCATGGTGAAGTTCTTCACCTCAGTTCCGTAGAACGAAGTTCTCATTCACTTGTAGAGTCTCTGCTAAAAATATTTTAGAGAGTTACATTTGTGTGTTTTACAAATGGCTACTCTCTTTCTTATAGTGTAATAAGAGTTTAACTACCCATTACACAGTTAAATTATTCCACAGTAACACAACTTGAACAGTCAAAGCAGAACACTTAGAGTAGACTAGAATGTGGCATTAACAAATAGCTTATGAAAGAAGTATTATTTTGATTACAGCACACTTATATCAAAGTGAGATAATTTTTCATGGAGATTCTTCAGCAACTCTAATGTGCACATATAAATAAATCCAGTGGAATGGAAAATGAAATCTTAAGATGACAATGGCAATTTATGTCAATTTTTGTTTTTCCTAAATATTCGTGCATGTGAAAGTCAGAATGTCTACAAATAAGCATATCAATGTTTGTTTATACACAGACATTACATTAGGAATTATCCTTCTTACATCAGACTGACACTGGCAGATCAAAAGAACTCTCACAGCATTCTTAAACTGGTAAGCCAATGAATGGCATCAGTATATTAGAAATCTCCCTATCTGCAGAAACCACTCAACTTCAGGATGTATTACAGAACTGACTCTCTCAAACCCCTACGACTTCAACTTATTTTACCCTTCCCTTTCACTTGTATCTTTTTCCCCAAAAGCGTGCATAAGGATCTACTCAGTGTCTTCTGAGTCTTTATCCATTTTTTTCTCCTTGAACCCCCTCAACTGGCATTTCTCAGAATTCCTCCTAGCTCTTTGCCTCAAAATGGCAGAGGCATGCAAATTAATTCTGTTTGTACGGAGTTCACAGTTTGTAATGCAAACCAAACCAGTAGCTTCACACCATTTTAAGACTCCTACAGGCAGACGTCTGCAATGGCAAGCTAATTGAGGAATATAGACCTTAACTTAAACATTGAATATCTGACATTAGCTACATTACAAACAGTTCACAAGAGAGATATTACAGAAAAACAGAACTTCATCCTGCATGTACATATATACAGCTGCATTTAGGCATAAAACTGCCCAGGAACATGGTCTACAGCTATCAAGATCTTGCCCTGGTGTAAGAAAAACACAGCACACGTGAAGTGAGTTTATATCAGATCATGCTACAAACTGTTCTGGTATTTCACACAGGAGAATAAACTTCCAATTTAACGTTTGAATTTTGAGCCAGTTCTGTCCTCACACACCTGTATTCCCCCTCAAGTGACTTTCCTCCTTCCAAACTGCCCTCCAATCACCTCCTCACCACTATCTGGGCCTTGTGTTTGCTGAGCACACACCCAAAAGATACACTTCACTCACAACCTCTCCGCAGCACAATCTGACTCTTCGAACACAGCTCATCCCTTATCTTCTGGTTTCTGTGTGCTCCCTGCGGCTGAAATGCCGCCCTCCTGCGGAAGCCAAGTGCCGTGTGTGAGTCTACTGAACTAGTAAGATCCTACCACATAAAAAGTTTGGACAAAAAAAACCCTACACAAAAATGCTTGGAAAGTGTTTCCCTTGGTGCAGTCCTCACGATCAGCGATACCAAAAGCTATACACAGGTAAACCGGGGGTACCGTGAGGCCTCTCCGAAAGGAGCGCTGCCGACCGCC